AGGGCTAGGCTCGAAACGTCAGCCTTCCTGCTCCTCTGATGCTGCTTGGCCTGCTGTGTTCATCCAGCTCTACACCTTGTTGTCTCAGATTCTCCAGCAACTGCAGTTCCTACTATCTCTGATAACATTTTCTCCCTGTTGACTTGTGTCTGAATACTTCTATCAAATCTCCCCTTAGCCTTCCTTTCTCCAAGGAGAACAGTCCCAGCTTCTCTAATCTGTTTTCAGTTCAGACCTGAAATTCCTCAGTTCTGGAATCATTCTCGTAAACTTCTTTTGCACACTCCAATGCCTATGCTTCCCTCCTAAAGTGCTGTGTCTATAACTGGATACAGTGCTCCAACTGAGGTCCAACCAGTGTCTTGTATAACCTCCTTTTGTACTATTAGGGGCGAACAATGTAGATTAGTAATGAATAACGACACAGAAGACTGTGCAGGAGCAGAGTGATCTGAGAGCTGGTTTATTGAGAGTGATTCACAAAGCATGTGGCATCTTGGGATTGATGTTAAAAAGACATCAAGTGCAAACCAGTGAGGCCATGTTGGACTTTATCGAACTCTGGTTAGACCCCAGATAGAATAGTGCACCCAGTTTTAGTCTCCACACTTTAGAAAGGACATGAGGATTTGAGAGTGTGTGTAAAAGGAGACCTACTGGAATGGTACAGGGGATGGGGGATTTTAGCTACAAGGTCAGATTGGTGTTCTCTTTGAAGCATAAGCGATTGAGGGGAGGTTTGATCAAGGTATAAAAAATTAAGTTTGGATAGGGTAGACAAGGAAACCTTCTACATGTTAGACTATGGGACACTGCCTTAGGGTTTTGAGAATGTGTTGCAGGGGATCAGGTGAGAGAGAGTTATTGTTAGGGAGTGAGTGGTAACAGCCTGTATTGTTGGAGAGGGTGGGGCTGGAATTTGAGACAGTTGACAGTTTCAAAAGGACATTGAATGGGGCCTGGAAGGAAATAAACTTGCAGGGTTATGGGGGTGGTGGGGGGGAGGCGGGGAACTGCTGCATGGAGAGCCACCAGGCACAGGATGTGCTGAATGGCCTCCTGTTGTACTATAACTGAGTCTCTGACTTCATTCTGAGACAGAGGTGCACTGTTCTCTGAGGGCCTGAACAAGATTTGTCCTTCCAACAGTTTTAATAACAGATGGTCTGGTCATCGTCACGTTGCTGTTTGTGGGAACTTGCTGTGCACTGATTGGCTGCAGCACTTCCTACAATACAGCTGTGACTACGTTTCACTAGTATCTGATTGGCTGAAAAGTGTGTTGGGGTATCCTGAGTTCATGAAAGGCATCATTAGAAATGCAACTTTTTACCTTTAATGGGCAACTAAAATAAACAGATATTCCAAACAGTACCTGTTACTGCACAAAGAGCGTGTTTTGTGATTGAAGCATTGAGGTAGATGATCAGATCTGATCTAGAAACGTGCAGTGTAGTTGAAGGGCTGAATGGCTTCTACCTGTGACATTGTTCCAAGATTGTGAGGAAGCTTTAGCTTTACCAGAAGCCTTTGACTCAAGTTTTATTATCTCAAGGACCAGTGAATTGTCATTCCTGCCCACACTTTCACCCCATATGTTCCTCTCCAGGCACACTCAAAGGCTACACCATGACACTCTGTATGTGCAATTATATTATCAGGGAATGACATTTATCCCTTCCAGGCTGCTCTGTAATTCAATTAGACCATTGTTATAAAGTCATGCAGCACAGAAACAGACCCTTTTGGTCCAACTTGTCCATGCTGACCAGACATCCCAAACTGACCTAGTCCCATTTGCCAGCATTTGGTCCATATCCCTCTTAAACCCTTCCTTTTCATATACCCACCCTGATGTTTTTTAAATGTAATCGTACCAGGCTCCAATACTTCCTTTGGCAGCTCAATCCATACACACGCCACCCTCTGCGTGAAAAAGTTACCCCTCAGGTCCCTTTTAAATCTTTCCCCTCTCACCTTAAACCTATGCCATCTAGTTTTGGACTTAGCCACCCAAGGAAAAAGACCTCGGCTATTCACCCAATCCATGCCCCTCATGATTTTATAAACCTTTTATAAGGTGACCCTTCAGCCTCTGATGTTCCAGGAAGAACCTAGCCCCAGCCTATTCAGCCTCTCCCTGTAGCTCAAACCTTCCAGTCCCGGTAACATACTTGTAAATCTTTTCTGCATCCTCTCAAGTTTAACAACATCTTTCCTATATCAGGGAGACCAGAATTGAGTGCAGTATTGTAATAGTGGCCTCATCAATGTCCTGTACAGCCACAACATGACCTCCCAACTCCTAAACTCAATGCACTGACCAGTAAAGGCAAGCATACCAAACACTGCCTCCACCGCCCTGTCTACCCATTGATCTGTGATCAGAATTCTATCCATTAGTGAACAGAAATCTTCCCAATATTAATGATTGATACACCATTAACTGTCAATTATGGAAGAGATTTCTAACCCTCTGTCACCATCTGCAGGAATAAACATTGTTTAATTTTACTGGGAAGAGCATATGCTGTAAACTAATACCCCAGGCTGTGGGCGTTCGCAAAGACCAGGAACTCTATCACGAGTGCTGGTGCTGAGACTCTGGCTATGAGCTGGAGCATGACATTGAGATACAAAAGCCAGCATTCCATTCACCTGTTTGAGCTTTGCATACCTGTCCATGGCAATATAATATCTAATACCTGGATCCCAAAGGCTCTTTGCATCTACACTCTTTCTATTTCCTAAGCATTTGGAAAGCTCTTGCATACACTCAGTGTCTGAAGGTGCTGATATGATCTACAATATACCTCATGGGCCAGTCTGTTCCCTATTAGCTGGTCTGCTTTCCTTTTGGAAAGGCTTCTTTCCTATGGAGTGTATCATTTGTAATCTTCAGTGGCTCACAGTCTTCACTCATGGCTCTGAAAAACCCTCTCCATCATGAAAACCCTCTCCATGATGAAAGCCCTCCCTGTCACTGTAACCTCCTCCAGCCCCCTACACCCCCTCCCTGTCACTGTAACCTCCTCCAGCCCCTACTCCCCCTCCCTGTCTCTGTAACCTCCTCCAGCCCCTACTCCCCCTCCCTGTCTCTGTAATCCCCTTCTCCAGCCCCTCCCTATCCCAATTATAATTCCAACCCCCCCCATCAGCAGCCGTACTTTGATCTGCTAACACTGTGAATTCCCTCCTTTGTCACCAGTTGATAATTGCTACCTTTGTCCTTACAGTAAAAGGGTAATGTGAAATAACAACTAGCTTGTATGCGAGCTTTAATTACTTTCACTTTAGGTATTTATTTTCATTTATGTCTTAAACAAGTTGCATTTCACAATTTTCTCTGGAAATATTTCAGTTCCCTGGAAAAACATGTTGTATTTTGCCTTACACTGCTGCCCTCTCCTGAGATATCCGCCTTGGCCGTGAGCCAATGATGTTCATCTCGAGCAATAATCTACTCCACAGCTTTCTGAAAATACCACCAATCCAAGGGCTCCATTCACCTACCCCTCTCGATGATCATGTGGTGAACTGGAATAAATCATCATTACTTCGACCTGAACATCTCTCTGAAATCTGTCATTCTCCAAAGAGCTGTGTCTGAAGCAGGGATAGGTTTGACATTTCTCCAAATGATCAGACTGTCTGACATTGTCAACTCTCCCTGTGTCGAGTTTTGAATAGTTTTGTTCAGGGTAGTTGATACGTTTGTTTATGATATGTTCAGGCTCCATGTCAGCCACCGCTCACCCGTCTCTTCATCTCACCTTATTGCTATATTCTTTACTCCTGTGTCTTTATTCAATCCTCCCGTAACTATATCCATACTGTTCACCTGGACCTCTCCCTGTGGGAGCAAATTGCACATTCTCCCCCTTCCTCAGGAAAAGTGTCCTCTCCTGATTTTCCAAGTGGATTACCATCCTTATTCAACGGCCCCTTGTTTTGAACTCCTTTCAAGAGGAATCCTAATCTCTGTGTCTGCCGTAATAAACCCCTTCGTAACTTTAAAGACCACTATCAGATGCTTTAACCTGTTCTTAGCTTAGCAATAAGAGTCCCAGCCTGTTTATTCTCCCATCAAAATTGGGATCCTTTTTTCTGGTGCCATCGTTGTAAATCTTTTTGTACACTTACTCCAGTGGCTCTGTATCCTTCTTGAATATGAAGCAAAGAGCTATTGACCGTGATCTGGTCTTTATTGGAGATTTGTGGGTGATGAGTTGAATTGGCTGGACATTGCGTATCTGGTTCAGATGAACACCAACAGCATGAAGGCTGAAGTGGACTTTTCGGAGTCATCACCTTCCCATGTGTCAGGAGAATGGAAGGCATTGGCAAACAATCCCTGACTCAATGAGCAGACAGTCTACACAGTGCAGCACTGACTGGAATGTTTGCCCTTCGAAGCAAACATGACAGTACCCATCGTAACATAGAAAATAGGAGCAGGCCTTTCAGCCCATTCATTATAATTATAGTTGATCATCCAACTCAGTCCCCAGCTCCTGCTTTCTCCCCAGGCTGGTTGATCCTCATCATTTGGGATGTTTGGTTAAAGTCAAGTTGCCAGAGACTGACTGGACAGTAGGGCTGCTGTCTCATTAGAGAGAGATGACTAGGGGTGACTTAACCTGAGGGTCACCATACCTCAGGCAACAGGAGAGATTGAGAAGGAGAGTGGTAATCTCAGGCAGTGTGGGAAGTGGGAATCACTCTGCATTACAAACCAGCGGTCCAGCCAACTGAGCTAACTGTCCCCCAGTGTTTGCTTAAAACCTGAAGTACAATGTTATGACTCGTCATTTGGACAAAAGCCATTTTTAGAAACAAGGTAAAGGTTTTAAGCTGAGTGTGTGATGGTCCTGTGAAGGATGAACAGAACATGCCTCTCTAATCTACTTCAATTCTGTTAGAGTTGATGATGTTTAACTTGATGCATTTGTGGTTTTGATCTTAATACATTAACTCTTGATGTGATATCTGTCTGTCCAATAGGCAAAATAAAATATTCAGAACGGGTATATGACGCGTGCATGGATGCTTTTGACTGCCTCCCTTTGGCGGCTCTGATGAATCAGCAGTTCCTGTGTGTTCATGGTGGTCTGTCTCCTGAGGTTAACACCTTAGATGATATTAAAAAAGTAAGTGCAACCATAACTGCCATGTTAGTTTTGTCAGTTTAGTTACTTATTTTTGATTTCATCATTTTAACTTCCTTGAACTGGCTGCTGCACATCTTTAACAAACTGGAACCACTAAAGCAGAGCTGTCCAAGATTCATGTAGCAGGTATACAGAGTGTTCAGCAATAAGTATTCACAGTTTGATCCAGCTCCTTCTGAAGACAGAGCCTGCAGGTACTCGGAATTTCTGAGCTTCGAACGGTCCTACCACTATGTTCCTGTGGGGGTTTAATTCTGTCTGTAACTGGCTCAGTGATCTGACAGTTAGTTCATGTCTCAGTCCTGATGATTGATTGGCACCACCTCAGCTCTCAGGAATGATAGCTGTCATTGGGGTCAAGTTGTGTTGGCTGCAATTAGAGTCATCATCATCGTGGTCCATTCTCCCCTTTCTAATCGAAAAGGCCAACCCACAACATTTGGTTTGTTGCCAATTGCTGAAGTGCTTCAGCTTTTAATGTTACTGAGAGCTGCTTCAGTGTTAGAAAGAACAACTTGAATTTATATAGTGCCTATCACAACCCTCGAGGACAGCCAAAAGCCGGTGAAACGTTAGTCCCTGTTGTAATGTAATAAATGCAGCTGCCAGCATGTACTCAGCAAGATCCCACAAACTGCCCTGCGATAATGACCAAATAATCTGCTTTGTAATTTTGATTGAAGGATAAATGTTGACCATACAATCGCTGTTGGTTCTTTGGCATCTAACTGATTGATGAGCCTATGTTTATTGCCTTACCTGAAAGATGGTACCTTCACCACTACTGCAGTTCCTCAGCTCAGTGCCAGGAGTGCCCACCTGGATATTGTGCTCAATGTCTGGAGTGGGACTTGAACCCATAATGTCCTGACTCTGAATCTGAGCGTGCATACTGTTGGTTGAGCCACAGCTATGAGGTTAGTGTTCCACAAAAGTGATGCTGAGAACTAAGGTTACTCCTGGGGAAGTGAAGGGAGTTTGCCTTTGATCTCCTTGTGTTATAACTTGGAGCTCCCTTCATGGGTTACAGGCATTGCCAAGAGAGAATTCGTATGGACTGCCCTCTGGCCAGTTAATCATTCCACCTCCCTCATACACTGGAGGAGAGGCTCTGGAACATGTCAGGCACCTCCCGAACCTCAGCAGCCTCCTTTGTCAAAAGGCGATACAGATGAGGAGTTGGCCCGAGGACCACCTGCACCAGCTCAGCCTTTTACCTACTGCAGCGGTGATGACACAGACTTTCATGTGACCTGGTGTAAAGGTAACTCACTGTAGTCTTACCAGATCATGGGGTTGTTCTCCCAGGAGAGAGAGAGGGACGAGTGGTGGTGAGTTTAACCTGAGGATCACCGTGCCAGCAGAGTCTAGGAAGGAGAGTCCTTCATGGGAACCTCGGACAGTTTGGGAGTTGATTGTACAGGGCACTTGTCATCACCCTCCTCCTGTACTGCAGTGACAGTGTATTGCTAATGTTTAAACAACACATATGAGTGCAAGAGAAAGTCTGTCAGCAGGTCCGATGTCTCTACTGTGTTCTGTGGATTCAGTGGGAGGATCATTGAACAGATGCTAGCATCCTCCTTGAAGCAAGCTGCACAAACATTCAGGCAAAACTGCCACTGGACCCGCTGTGATGGGCAAGACTCCGTGATCAGAAGCTGTGCAGGGCCCTCAACCCCAGGTTGTGTTTACTGCCCCTCGAATGGCCAGTATTCTAGGGTAGAGAAAGAAAACATTGCAAAGACTCTCTGAAACCTTCCTTGAAACACAGCAGCATCAATGTTAACCAAAATGGCACATCGAGCTCCCTTGTGCTGAGAGGCTTGGTGCCTTAATGATGAGACAGAGTGAGGAAGAGATCTCTTTGCCCTGGGGTTGTCCTGTGTGCCCCTAATCCTGAGGGTTGAGAATCAGCCTCTTCAGTTACATGAAGATCCAAGGCAGATACTGGCAACTGGGAGCAGATGTCATCTTTGGATTGAGGGATGACAGATGTCAGATAGATTGCAGCTGGATAGATTATTAAATAACTGAGTGATGGACCTTGGGAAGGATTTAGTTCCCAACTTGAACTTAGTTAGAGAATGACTGATATGGTTGCAGTGGTGGGACCATTACTTGTTTCTCTCTGTTAAGTTGGGAGGGGCTTCCAATCTGGGGGTGATCAGAGATGTGGATGGTAGACAGAATGTGGCCTCTGAAAGCTGTCTTTCTGAACTTGACTCAACCCCCTCCAACACCCCTTTCCCTGTGGACCCCGCCCCTCAGAAGACAAGGACAGCAATGTAAAGAGCTTCTCACTCTGGATGCCCTACTGAGGATTTGGACTTGGACTTGACCAGTGAGTATTGCTATTCTGCCCTGATTGCTTGGCATTGCCTGGCACCCAGTGTGCCAGTGTTGAGGGTGTGATAGTGTGAGCTACTCCCCTTCACTCACCCCTCCACTCCGAATGAGATTGTTGAGTATCTCATCAGCGAGCATAGACTATTTGTCATCACCTCACGTACTCTTTCCCCAGCATTTGGTTAAAAAACACCAAAAATCATGCCCAGAGTTTCAGGAGGTTATGGGCGAGTTTACAAGTCAGGAACGTTTGACTTGAGTCAGTGACCCCACAAGGCACATTTATGTCTGTTTGGCACATTTAACTCAGGACAGTATCACACACATCACAATCTGACCAAATCTGACACCCAACCAAAGGAAATGAAACTAGGAGGGGTGTCTAAAAGAGAGGTCAGAGATTAGGAAAAAAGTGGGTGAGCCAGAGAGAAGTTTTGAGAGAGCTGCTTTCACAGATAATTAAACTGCCAAAGATCAGAAACCCAGGCCATGCTTGGTGTGAAATACAGCTAGCTTTTCCCCAACTGTGCCACATGTTTGCTGTGCGTCAGTACCTCGGTAGGATGTGGGTTTGTGTTTGTGATGCTCGTGTGGTATCCCAGTTTGTAGATAAGCAATGAAGAGGTGTCAGTGATCAAAGTCTAGTTACTTCCCTCAGCAGCGGGATAAACGCACAAGTTGATGTGGGTTGCTTTCAAATTGGGTCAGGAGCCCAACTTAAAAAGTAAATCACGTTTTGTTTTAAGCATTAGGTCAGAGGGTTTGGATGAAGGAGGCAGTTAGAGTTTACTGCATACCTGGGATGACGCTGAAAGAAAAGCCAAAAGCCAAAAGCAGTCTCCCATTTGGGGGGGCACCAACGTGTAGAAGCGTCAAAGATTTTTTTTTAAAAAACCAAGCACCGGAGATTGGGTACAAGATAGAATTGCTAGAACAGCCTGATGATTGCAGGAATCTCTGTATATTGGAGAGAAAGAGAGAGCAAAGGAAGAGGAGTGAAAAAGATGGATTAAAAAAAAACAAAATATAAAGCAAAAAATTAGATGTGATGTTTTAAAAATTCATCCACACAATGAGGGTGTCTCAGCATTTGCTGTGCAGCCCTAATTTCCCTGGAGACGGTGGTGGTAGGACTCCTTCCTGAACAAGTGTAGTCCGCGTACATTTATCTTAAAAGACTGAAAGCAGTAGAGAGAGAACCTGAAGCTTTCTGATTGTCACATTTACTGGAAGTGTAACTGCCAAGTCAAAACAAAACTTTGAAGCAAATGTTTGCAGCCAGTAATGTTGGCTTTGTTTGTTTTATAATGAGCTATGCAAGATCTGTCAAGTCGAAAGGTAGTATTTGTTGGTCCCTGTGGATATCTCAAGGAGCTCCTCACCTATTTCCCCATCCCAGCTTCATTTTTGTGAGCTTCTCAAAGTAAGAAAAATGGAGGATTTTGTTTCTGTGCCTGTTCATCTTATTTTCTCATTTACTGGTTAGTAATAATTCTTTGTCAGACTTACAATCTGCAAAACTATCAATATTTATGAGTTTGCTTTACTTTAAGACTTATTGAAGCTCTTTAATGCAACACAGCATATGAATTACTAAATGTGTGCAGCTAGTTAACCATGTTGGTGACTTACCATAGATGTTTCTTTGAAGTAACGCATTAAAAACCCTGTTGACTCTTGGAGGTAGACTGAATAAACAGAAGCTTATTTAATGTCCTGTAGTTCAGTTTAATAAAAGATGCAGTGTACTTGCTTTAATCTTATCCTAAACACTCAGAATTGGACAGGAACAAAATTAATTAGGCATTTTTATTTGGAGTGTGCACATGCATGCACGTGTGTGTGAGACTTTATAAAGCTGCCAGTTCTCCTGTTTTTTTTAACCATATTTAACTCCTATTTAAAATACTTCCCTCACCTGAAATGATTGTGAATTCTGATTATAAACAGCAGACATTCTTGGTAGAAGGGTTAAGGCACAGTATGATATGTGGAGGTTGTTGTTTTACTCATGACCTGCTCCTGTAAACCCCCTTTATAATGTTCTCCTATAACTGGAAAATTGGTCAGTGAGGAGCACTCGGAAACAATGAAGGAGGTTTGGATTGGGCTGTTTCCTTTAGAAGTTTAGCACGTGTCTGAAAGTGTTTGAGTGTCTTTTAAATGGGTTAAAGAACCAACATCCATCATTGAACATCGGACCTGATTAAGGAGTAGACAGAAAGTGAGCATTTGATTCAGATAAAATTGTGAAAAGTCTAAACATCAAGCTCTCTGTGAGAGAACCTGGAGCTCATCCATTGCAAATGGATCCCGACTCAGTTGTGCATTGCTCACACCAGGTGGAGGGGGAGAACAATTTCCATTAGTGAGGTGGGCTGTCCGGTACAAGGACTAAACGTTAATGATTGAGCCAGGTCATTCAGGGGGAAACATTCACCCACACAAAAGGGGGTCTTTGTTTTGGAGAGTTTATGGAAGACCACTGTACAATCTTGTATTCCTCTGGGAGATGGAGGAATGTTGACAAGGCAAAAGTTTAAGTGGGTGTCACTGACTGGCCCAGCATTTATTGCCCATCCCTGGTTGCCCCTTGAGAAGGTGGGGGTGAGCTGCCTCCTTGAACCACT